AGCGCAGGGCCCGGCCCCTCCAGCAGGGGGCGCCAGGGACATACACACAGAGCGCAGGGCCCGGCCCCTCCAGCAGGGGGCGGTAGACCCCCCCCCACACACACACACACTCTGGGCCGGTTCTGCTCTCACTAGCCAGGCGGGGGGGGGGGCTCCCAGCTCCAGCCCGGTGTATTAAGAAGCGGATGAGGCAGCTTGGCCGGGAGCCCAGCGCGGGGGTTTAGCGCCGCTTCCATATGGTCCCGCTGCGCCCAGCGCTCGCCACGTGGAGTCGGCACCGGCGCCAACTCCCCCCCCCCGTCCGCCCCCCCAACATATCGGGCTGAGATTGCAGCGGGCGGAGGGGGGGTCAGTAGGGGGCTGCGGGGGCGGGGCAGCAGGGGGCGCTGGGATGCGGGGGGTCAGTAGGGGGCTGCGGGGGGCGGGCTCACTAGGGGGCTGCAGGGAGTGGGGTGGGGGGTCAGTAGGGGGCTGCGGGGGGCTCTCCCCCGGCAGTCGGGGCTGGCCCCCATGCGGCACTAGGGGGCGCTGCGCGGTGGGGAGCGGCGGGGGGGGGGGGGGGGGGAGGAGCACGGGGGTTGGCGCCAGGACCAGAAATTAGAGGCTGGTTCTGCTCTCAGATCACCCAGGGTCAATCCGGAGTCACTCCTGTTTGCAAGGGCAGGGCCGGGTTCTGCTCTCAGCTCTCCTCCCCCCCTCCCCCGGAATCAATCCAGAGTCACTCTGTCTGCAGTGGGGATAGGGCCAGGTTCTGATCTCAGCTCCCCGGACTCCTGGGGTCAATCTGGAGTCATTCTTGTTTGCAATGGGGGCAGGGCACGGTTCTGCTCTCCGCTCCTCCAATGCCTGCGCCCCGGGTCTATACAGAGTCACTCCTGTTTGCAGTGGGGACAAAGGCAGGTTCTGATCTCAGCTCCCCCATGGTCAATCCAGAGTCACGCCTGTTTGCAATGGACTCAGGGCCCGGTGCTGATCTCAGCTCCCCCAGGGTCAATCCGGAGTCACTCCTGTTTGCAATGAGGGCAGGGCCGCGCATTTTACCAACTGAAGAGAAACAAAAACCTGAAGGCTTCAATATCTGTTAACTAGGAGCAAACCCTGGGAATAGGCTGGAGGGACGGGTTGGGGGAGATGGATGGATTGTGGCAGCTGCACCTCAGTGCTGGGCGAGGGGTCCCCATATACCCAGTCCCTGCCCCATGGGGGTCCCCGTATACCCAGCTCCCACGCTCTGCCCCAGAGGGGCCACGTCGTAGCACCGGGTGAGGGGTCCCCGTATAACCAGGCCCTGCGCCCCACCCCAGAGCCAGCCGCATCCCAGCACCGGGTGAGGGGTCCCCGTACACCCAGCCCCCGTGCCCCGTCCCAGGGGGCCCCGGCAGGAAGCAGTGGGAAAAGCTGGCACCAGAGGAGCGGAGGGCACTGGGGAAGGTCAGGTCAGCTCGGGCCGGGCGCCGGGCGGGGAGCTCAGCCAGGGATATTTAAAACCGTCCTTGTGATCTGCTAACGCAGCCACCTGCACCGTGACCCCGCAGCTCCATGTGCTGAGCCAGGCCAGCAGCCGGGGGGTGGGGGGGGGCTGGCCCCAAGTCCCCAGGGCAGCGCTAGGGGGGCCTGTGCTGCAGGGAGGGGGGGATCAACCTACCCACCCACCCCATCCATCCCAATCCACCAATACATCTATCTATCTATCTATCTATCCCCATCCACCCCATCTATCTATCTATCTATCTATCTAACCCCAGCCACCCCATCTATCTATCTATCCCCAGCCACCCCATCCACCCCATCTATCTATCTATCTATCCCCATCCACCCCATCTATCTATCTATCTATCTATCTATCTATCTATCTATCTATCTATCCCCAGCCACCCCATCTATCTATCTATCTCTCTATCTCTCTGTCTCTCTCGCTCTCTCCGTGTTCCTGGGCCAGGCTGCTGGAGCGGCGCCAGCCGGGCGGGGAGACGATCGAGCTGACGCAGGAGGGGCGCGCAGTGGAGGTGTTGGAGAAGCACCAGCCGGTCGTGGACTGCACCTGCTTCGGCCTCCCGCGCCGGTACATCATCGCCATGCTCTGCGGCTTCGGCTTCTGCATCAGCTTCGGCATCCGCTGCAACCTGGGCGTGGCCATCGTCAGCATGGTCAACAACAACACGGTGTACAGGGGCGACAAGGTGGTGGTGGAGGTGAGCGGCCTGTCCCCTCTAGGGGGTGCTGGCTCCCACCAGGCCTCAGGGCAGGGATTGGCTGGCTCAGGGGGGTGGGGAATGGGGCGCGGGGCCTGTCCCCTCTAGGGGGTGCCGGCTCCCACCAGGTCCCAGGGCGGGGAC